CATAGCTTAATCTCACAAGATCTGTAGCTTTAAGAGCGCTGTATACACTGATAGCAATTAAATTTGCTCTTTATGATTCGTCGTAGATCTGTATGTAAATGGTACGTACATCAAACGTTTCTAGTCCGACGCCTTGGTTAAAGAAGTAAAATACATAAATAAGCGAGCTCTGCAAACTAGATTTAATCTCATTCTCGCACTCCCATTATTGTCCTGGGCGTTTAAAAGACGGATTGTAGTGCAGCGTTAGAGCGTTAGAATTTAACGTTATCCGTGAGGTTACGTCTAACTTAATGACGGGTGTGCGTTCTTCTCTCAGTCGGCGTGTAAAACAAATTCACATTCCATATCAATGAGACATACAGTTCAATATACACATACAAATACTTATACTTATAATAAAAATTATTTACAGATTTGATAATTATAATTTTTTTCGAGAATTTAATCCGAGGTTATATATTATACATAACTTAGACATCATGGATCTTTGACCCTAAACATAATGATTCGAAGATTAAACCACTAAAGAATCGTAAATCTTAAAATTACTGACAACAGTATATGACTACAGAAACAATTATTTGTGACAGTGCTGGCCTTCCATAAATAATAAAATATTACCATAATGGCATTGCTTTTCGAGTTCGCTACCGGCAAACTAAATAAATAGCCGGCACTTAGGGTCGACTCACGCTACCTGACAACGGCTTTTCTTTGTTATGTTCTTTCTGAACCCCGTGACCACAAAGCCATTTGACCACAGACTAGGGCCCGATTTGGTTTTTTGAATAACGGTTAGTTATTGGTTTTCCCCCAATCGGAGACAAAGAAAGTTAGAAAAATAAATGCTGCCTGGCAAATCGTTAATAAAAGAAATAACGAGCTTCCGAAACAAAAAGAAGTGTAAACATAATCACCAACTGTTTTTTGTACATATTATATGTTCACAGAAAAAATGTATTAATGACTTGATAAATTTTTGATATTTTTAAAAGTTATTTCACAATACTAATGATAAGTTACATATATTTCAATACTTTTCTTTAGTGACGAAAACAGATGCTAACATTGTTACGCCGTACAATGGATTTTTCTAATTTCCTTGCTGGTAAAAATATTGTGTTTTTCCTTGTCTTTCATTTTAAATACAGGATTTGTCGATCAATATACAGACAGACCACGAGGCTAAAAACAATAAAAAGTAGATTCATTTGTTTATAATTATTGGAAAAAGAATATTGAGAATACAATAGAAAGGGGTGGACTTATAAAAGAAAACAAACTCGATAAACCAATGAATAAACAAAACAAGGGATGAACTAATATAAAAACAATTAAAGAAGATTCGATGCGCGAAGAAAAGAGAGTGCTACTAAAAAGGGGTGGATTAAAGGGACTAATAAAAGAGATACCACCCAAAGAGAATGGCAAATAAAAGAGGTACAAATCAATGAAGAGGTACCACTCAGGACTAATAAAAAGGTACCACTCAAAGAGAAAGGCAAATAAAAGAGGTACAAATCAAAGGGATGGACTAATAAAAGAGGTACCACAAAAAGGGATTAGTTAATAAAAGAGGTACCACTCAAGGGGGTGGACTAATAAAAGGGGTACGACTCAAAGGACTAATAAAAGAGATACCACTCAAAGGGAAAGGCAAATAAAAGAGGTACATATCAAAGGGATAATCTAATAAAAGAGGTACCACGAAAAGGGGATTAATTAATAAAAGAAAGGATCAAAGGGGTGGATTAATAGAAGAGGTATCTCTCAAAAAGATGGACTATGAACGAAAAAAGGAGGGTACCACTCTAGTATGAACTAAATAAAGGGGCTCCCTCAAAGAGATGACTTATGGACCACTCTAAGGGATTAGTTTTAGTGGAATTGCAAGAACTACAGACGTCTGATTGAAAATCGGAATGGTGCAAATCGATGCTATCAGTGTTCCGATATACATACAATCTGTTTACAATCCCTTTAAGGCACCTCCTTTAAAACATTACTTTCCTCGATGATGGTGATTTAATGTTTCAATGTCAGGCAATAAATAATAGAAATGTCTGGAGTGAAGAAGTCAAATATTTAATATCAATTATTGGTAATAGGTCCACTGGCAGCTCCATCAATTCTAGATTGAAGATCTAGTATAATAATACAGTTTTTATGTCAACAATTTATTGGAAATCAACTATATATTATAACAAGGTCAGAGATTTAAACATTAATTTGAAAGATTTCCAGTTCCAGTCGCAGACTATAACCTTGTATAACTAGACAACTATTATCTTAAACATACCGCCTTCGTATTTTCGTCAGTTAAAAGAAAATCAGTTTCAAAAACTATTAAATTCCTTATACCAGCCTGAAACCTGCACGATTTTTGTCAGCACAATCACATGCACTTTGGGGTGGCACCGTCACCGTGCCACGGGTGGTGGGTGTGAAGAGATTGCGGGTAGTGTTTACTTTGGCAGAGGGAATTTTTTGACAAATTTGGTACGAAATTTTACCATATGTGCGTGTCACTGACGCAATCTCAATCACAAAGACTGCTGCGTGTTCACTGCTAGTGAAAGCATAAAAGCATAGACCGTCGCCCCCAAGAAATTTTTGTGGCCACGAACCGAAAGTTTGGTCTAAATTTAATTAGACCGCCCGTTAATTCCACGTCAAACATATATATCATTCAGAAATCTCTAACTGATGTTCAAAAAATATCGACTTCATGCAAAATTAAAAATCTGTAAGGTTTTTTTTGGTCTCTTGATAATACAGGCTACTGAATTTGAGTTGGTGTTCATAGGACATGAATATTCAAACGTTTTGGTGTTGTTATTTTTTTCATTCCATGTGGATTTGACAATATATTTTTGAAATATTACTTAGAATAGTAATAATATTTTATTCTATAAATGTGAATATTATTACCATTAATAGATAAGTACAAAAATGTATTTAGTTTTTTTATGAGTTAATTTCTATGATGGTACTATTGAATTAAATCTATATCAAATCTTAAGTATAAATATGTATATACTCCATACTGTTTTCAATGAATATTGCTCAATAACTATCACTAACAATCAGCTAAGCTCATCAGTAATAGTGTTCACAGCTCACCAACGAAAATTAGAATTATCCACGTTTGAAAGTTAAATTGATGACTTGGATATATTGAAAGATAGTTTGACAGGCAAGGTAATATACGCCCACTGGCAGCTTTGATTTTAAAGAAAAATACAGTAACAATTACCAGTAAGAAATATTCAAATTTCTGGCATACACTTCTTTTGAACTTTTTGGGGTGATACTGAATGGTATTACCATGTTTTGTCTAAATCAGGCAAGAATCGAGCCTTTAAGTGTTACGAGCTAAAAAATGAATGCGTCTTCAAAATTGAGGTCAATAACTCATAGTTTTAAATCAAAGTTAATCCCATGGGTGATTATAAACAATTTCACAAAGTTTCGTCAAATTCCGTCAATAATTTTTAAACGCGTTTTCAAGATTAAAGGCAATAATTATAATATATTTTTCGATTTTTCTAATTTTCAGTAGGGTTCATCCTTGGGTGATTACAACCTCTCACACAAATTTTCATCAGAAGCCGGCAAGAATCGTGCCTTTAAATAGTGTTAACTAGCTAAAAATTGAATTATTTTCAAGAACAAGGTCAATAATTCCTTTTAACACTTTTGATTTTCAGAAAAAAAGTTTGAGTTCACCCATGGACAATTTCACCAAATTTCGTCAAAACCTGTCGAAAATTGAAATTTGTACGCGTTTTCAAGGACAAGGAAAATAACTCATACTAAATATTTTTCGATTCTCCTGGTTTTCAAAATGGTTCATCCTTGGACGATTGTGCCTCGTAGAGTGTTTACGAGCTAAAAATTGAACGCGTTTTCAAGAACAAGGGCAATAACTCATACTAAATATTTTTCGATTCTTCTGGTTTTCAAAAGTGTTAGATAACAAACACGCACACCTAGTTTCATCAAAATTGATGTATTCCAATGCTGAAATCGACATTCCCTACTTGTGACCTAGGCCAGTGCTTCTATAAGAGAGTTTCTCTTATAAAACCTTATACCAGTTAAAAATAACCACTCTGTTGTTTGCCGAGACAAACAGACCACAATAAATGAAACTCATACAGTTTGTGGTCAAAGGGAGACAGTATCGCATTAGTGTGGTCTGTAGATAAAAAAAATATGCGGTCGTTTGAATGTAGCTTATGATGCATTGTGCTTATAAATCTTCACAGAAGTGTCGTGTGCAGAATTATTAGGCTACTGTCCTCAACAAACGTTAGATTGTTCACCGACCCAACAGGGAACGTGTGTCGGATTTAGACCGTTGCAACACAGGTTAGTTTTACTGATACATGTAGAAGAAAATGTGTTTTTGTTTCAGTCTAGTTATATCAAGGTTCTTAAATCAAATGTCAGTAATTACTGAATAATGGTAAAAATTTCATGGATTTCAAAGGATTAATTTTCTGCAAAAATCATAAAAATTCAAGATATTATGTTTTGTCAAAATATCTTTGCAAAATGATAACCAGATGTCAATGATAAAAATGATTTTGGTAACTAGGCTAATACTGAATTAATTTTTAACAGAAATAACATAGCTTTGTCCTTTTTAAGGGGGTAGTCTGTACAAATTCTGAAATATTTATATTCGAAATGAAATGAAATGAATGGAGTTTTACGTCCTACTTTTCTGCACCATGTGGGATAATGAAGACGGGCAACGCCATGCAGGGTGCAGTGAGGGAAATTTTTTCATGACAGCGGCATTAGCCTGCTCTTTTTCGATTTCCAACTGTCGAGGGATCTTTAATGTGCACAGCCTGTAATACACGGGGCCTCTGTTTATTGTCCCATCCGAACGACTAAACGCTTTTTCCATGTCAGCCCCTCTTATCTGCTTTGCTGACAGTTGGAAACCTGGTTGAAAAATCCAAAGGTATTACATGACATAGATAAAACAGAAGGTATTTTCATTTTATTTAGCACTTAAAAAGTCACACATAATATAATTTGATTTACTTATACTTTCCATCCCATTTAAAATCAAATGGACTAATCCAAGTTTTACAACCAAGATAATTTTTTCGGATGCTGTCTTTAAAACTAAAAGGATTAATATTGTTCTCTTCAATATATTTTTCTTTTTCAGCTTCTCGTTCTAGAATTTCGTGGCTAACTACTCTAGCTTGAAAAGGCAAACTGGCAGCAGCCTGTTTTAAAATATGATTCACTTCGTCAATGTCTGTGACTCCACCTACTTCCATGATGATTCGTTGAGCCTTTACTGGGTACACATAATGATCGATGGGAGATTTTCCACCCCCCATTCTCTGACCAAGGCCTTTCTTCCCAACAGCCTTCCAGGGCGTTTCTACTCTCCATATAGCAAACATTCTAGTATCTCTCATCCCTCTTACAATACTCATTCTTATCATTTCCAAATGCCCCCATCTCATTTTTCCACCACAAGTAGCCTGTAATAACAATGTAGATAGATTTAGATATGAAATACAATGTTCAACATCCTATATTTGAACCTGATTGAGCTAGTGTTATAAAAGAAGGGTCCTCGACAACTTTCATTCTTGGTGTGAATTATACATCAAAATAGTACTTTTTTTGTCTCAATCAATATGCACTTAATTACTTTATTGCTCTAAAGAGTCAACATAACAAAAGCCTTTGGATTTGTGCTCACTGGAAGAAAAGTTCATTATCCACTGCCTTTATTTCAAAATGAAGAATACCTGAATGCCATATTCACCGTATTGTAACTTATTGTGTATTAATTCTGGTCCTCTCATGTCACGTAATCTTTTCATAAATTTCATAGGTGGATCTTGATTTTGTCCACTGAAATATGGTGATCGATCAATAACTTTCAACTTTCTTTTCTCTGGAAATTCTACATCTGAAAACACATCAAAATGTACAATAAAACTCAAGAATTACAAAAAAACATTTTTTTAGGACAATCAATTTTTATAAACATTAAGCACATACCATAGTTGAAAAATAATTGAAAATAATTTCATTCTGAACACACTTTGGTTTGCTGAGAGAAAAGGTTGAAAGGTAACAGGTTATCCTACATGTTTGTTTGGAGTTGTTTGTTAAGTCAGTGCTTTGAGCATAGGCCTAGTTTTGGATCAAGCTCTATACCAAGAAACAAATATCGAAAAAGAAATTGACTTCTAGAAGAAATTTAAGTTAGGCCTAAGCTACTACTTACCATCTACACTTGGGGGCTTTTTCCAATTCATCACTGATACAACCTGGTTATAAGATATATTATCTGAAAAAGTTTAGAAAGTTAGTTTGAGACAATGGTATCTCAGACAAGCACATGTACTTTCAAAAGCTACAAAGTAAGCCTGAAAGACAAACTCAAAGCATTTCCTAAGGGAATGCTGATGTAAAACAAAGCTCCCCACCCCATCCTCACTCACAATACCATCTACCAAGATTTCAGTCAGTCGGCATACATCCATCATGAAGTTGATCTGATATTTCACGCTATCTTTGGAATAATACGAATTGGTTATCATAAGCCTACCTATTTTGCACAACTGCTTTAATTTGGATGTATTCATGATAAAAGGACTAAATTTTGCAGCAAACATTTTATTTTTTATTTTTCTATTTCACTGAGTGGTTATTTCTATCTTTAAATTGGAGAGCACACGATAAGGGAAGCAACAGGTGTCTTTTTCTCGGACAACAAATACATTATTGTTTTAAGGATTATAGATTCTCGCTTTGTTGCGTAAAAAACAATATTATAGCCCTGTAAAGATTTCCACCTGCCGATGGATCTTGATCATGTACAGTCTGTAAAATGCGAGACCGGTTTGAAAAATACTATCCGTTTGGGCTTAAACCTCAATAACCCGGATAAGTGAGCTTTTAAGAATCTTTTTAATAGTGGTCTGATATTTAAAAATGCATTTTTTAAATTATAGTTGCCTCCCATCTTCCAGAAATATTGGCGATGCAATCGATCAAGGAGACAGGGTATGGTGTAAGTCCATTTTAGGAGAATAACATTTAGTTATAATTTTGTCGAAAGTAGTGTGATTATTTGCACCCATAGCTTTATTTTTTAAAATCTTTCGGCTCATTGGTTATGATCATAGCACCTGCAAAAGAACAAGATTGGACTTCTACATCGGTTTATTCATTTTTCATCCATTGAAAACAAGCTTAAAGGGAATTTAGTACACTTCAAAGTCATAGAAGATTTTCTATCGAACTTCATAAACATTGAATACACTGCTTTATATACTAATGACAATTTCAGGTTTTTAGATTTTTGCTCGTTGATACATTATTTGCACTCTTAGACAATGATATGAATAAGATAAAATGCTTACCATATAAGGCATCACACGTAAAAGAAATATGAATTTATGTTATTCAAAAAATGCTAATGATATCAACTAAGGCGATGACGTAATAATGCTGCCATAAATTTTGATTAAGTCAAGTCTCAAGTGGAGAAGGAGACAATGTGGGAAATTAACGACATATTTGTCGCGGGAACCTCCTCATTTCAAGAGTTCTGGTGTCACAGAGTCTGGGTTACCTGCCCTTTGATTACTTGCCAATAAAGATCTATAAGAAAATGGTTGATTTTAGGTGTCGACACGAGGGTTATATATATTAATCTTGCCGATAAATTTATAACGGTGTGGACCAAATTAAAGTGTTTATCTCATTTCATTTTTTTGTCAATTTCTATGACAACCAACAAACACCTGGACCTAGAATATAGATTGTTATCATGGATCCATTGATCGATTGGCTCCGATCTAATTAAAATTAGATTAGAATTTTGTTCTTTTTTTTTCTGATATTTTCGTCTTCATCGTAATCTGGCAAGTTTTCTGCTTTTTTTATAACCAAACAAAGCGTGGTATGGCCCGTTTCTTGATAACAATGTTGCGAATGCCGATAAGGTTGTTATGCCATATTATTTTATTTTGAGTTTCGCTATTCCACAAATCGTCATTGTTTTTTGACCTGTTTGTAAAATCAAATAGCCGCCACCGGATTATTCATAATTCTACCAACATCATAAAGATAATATTAGGCCACTTGAAAGCTCTCCAGTTTTGAAGTTGGGTTTAGTGTAATCACTCTCACTAATGTAAGGCTGTTTCACAAGTTTTGTTAGAAGTGGTAGATAAGGCAAATCATAAAGAAGCTCGTTAATTGACTCTGTCTCGTCTGTGACGCTAACAAAATAATCATAACCAAATCAATCATATTGGTCCCTTTGAATTGGTCAAATTTTCTTCATGTCATAATGAAAACCCTATACATGCCTTGGGTGTGAGCGTATAACTACTGTACTATATACGTAAGCGGAGGAGTCAATTTGTTTTATCTTCACAATAGTCAAGATATTACGAACTTTATTTTATACCTTAACTACAATAGGTACTATTCTTACAAAAGTTTGTAAATGCAGTAATTTAATTGGATTGTATGCTTGTATACAGTCAACCAGAGCCCTCGACAGAAAGTTTCTTAAAAACAACCATTACAGTCTTTCTGTCGAGGGCTCTGTTTGGCTGTGTACCCTGCATCCAATCAAATCGCCGAATTCCGTACAAGAGCAGTGGGTATTGTATTCAAGGTTAAAAACTAAGTTACAGTTGTGAATAAATTCTTTTAATAGGAGAGTAGAGTAGGATTGGGATATCCTTGCCTGAAACAAATTCTTTTGTCAAGGGATGCCGGAAACAGTGTTTTACCATTCGATGGCATTTGTGCACATGCCATCACAATTTTAACAAATTAAACAGAAACTGACTTTTTTATTCTTAGGTTAGGAAATCCGATTACCATTTAAAGTGCAAAAAATACACGAAAAGCTGAATATTTATGACCGTATTGGCGACACCTTTACGCTCATTTTTTGTCACCTTACAATATTAAAGTCTTTTTGGCCAAATTTATGAGCAGTGTATATTTTTTATCCAACTGATGAATAGATTTGACACCTTTTTAATCCCTTCCGCTACATTAAAATGATCTTTTTCGCTCTTTACGATTGTTTACGTTGATGGTTGTCACATGTCGATCTTTTCCACCTTATATAGCCTTTTTGTACTGTAATACCCCAGTTGGATTGAAATCTGGCTTGGGGTTTACCTACAAATCAAGCTTAGCAAACTAAATCATCTTCGCCTTATTTTTAAGGAAACCCGTTTTTTATGAGTATATTTAACTGTAGACGAACCGGTCGTTGGTATTTTCATTAAGAAGTGATACAGATAGTTGTATTGAAAGTAAGCTGGTAATGCAAATATTTATTCGTTACACCAATCGTTATGTAAGAGTAAGTGGTATACTTACAATCAGTATCCTTTTCACTATACCTTTCAACACGCCTCAACCTATTACGTTACCTAGCCTACCATGTTTTACTGTAGGCAAATGTATATATTATTACCGAGCAAAGCCATTTGCTTCATTCATTGATACAGCATAGGTGAAACTGTAAAACTGTCTATCAGTATAGGGAATCCCTCTCGTGGAAAAATGTCTTTTTTTTTATTTCTACCCATTTTAGTAATTTTTTTGACCACCCCTCTCCATCCGGGCACCGAAAGCAATTTCCCACATTGCACATTGCATGAGGTTGGGCGTTTTATTAACCAAATCAGGAGCAGGAAAGAAAGGATGTATGACCTCACTAAAAATTAAAACCATGTCATGGAAAAAAATACGGTTTCATATCATTTTGACAAATACAAATCCGACAATAAAAGCCATGGCGGTTTCTTCTGAACAAATCCTGTGCCAGGATTTTAGCTAGACGTCGTCAAGAGGTGGGACCTGATGTCTGAACCCCCTACTGTTATTTACTGATGATATCTTGTGTTAGAAATCTTTCTGATATAAACTGATCAGAGTGATAAAGCATGCTAAGAGTTAATGTGGTGGGTTAGTTCAAGTAGATTTATTTATATTATCGATGGGAAAGTGTTGGAATAATTTTTTTGTCATCTTCGGGTACCAGAAATATGCTAGAGTTGTGTTCTATAATCATTAGTGCCCGTAGTTACAGGAGGTGGCATCCGAAAAAAATGATTTGCCCCCTAAACATTCTGTCAACCGACCAATTCCATTACTACAACTAAACACCATACACCATTACTTCTCTGGATAAATTACTTGCTTCTCGGAACAATCAAATCTGGCTATACGGGACTGAGAACAACGGACGCCGAACAGAAAATCGGAATTGCACATAATATGGAAGTTTTAAGTGTTGTCCATACATACACGAGTTCACAAGTTATCCTCTGAACTCTTTAATTTCGTATTTATGCCGTTTTCATTTGCTCAATTCAGAGCAGAACGTAAACTCCATGTCATTACTTTTTCGAAAATCAATGTCGAATTAAGCCTTAAAGCCGAATAATTAATTACCTAATCGTAATCTGTACGTAAATGTTTAACGAAGATGACTCATTATACAGGTATCACATACTGCCTTAAGTATTATCATGACAGGCAATCTGCATGTGACACTAAACGTGGTTTTCCTCTTTTTAAAATGTGCGAGATGGCAACTACCTACTCTACCTTGTCACTCGTATGCAAACATTAACCCTCGCCAACTCGCCCTTAAGGTGTCCGATTTCGGTTTACCGAGCTGTTATTGTGCCTCGTGGCGACTTGAGACATTGATTTTTCATTAATAATATTCCAGGTTGTCAATTTCTGTGACGGATTGATCGTTATCATCTCTATATCTAACTTTCATCGTCCGCCATATTGTCGCGGCCATGTTTACCGAGAATTCACGAGGCGTAATATGATCACATTAAAACAGGTGCCCTGTCACTGGTTTATTTGCCAACTAATTAATTATCAGGAAATATTTGAGGCAAGACAAAGGTGAACAGGAAATAGTTGATTTGTTGCGTTGAATAAATCTTTTAATACCATAAAAGGCTTTGAAAACGTTAAAAGAGTTTACCTACTGATTCTCCGTGATTCAAATATAACCATAATGCAAAATTTTGAAATTGTTTTCAAAATTTAAGAAAAGACGCAATGAATATAAAATAATCGAAACAATGAAAGAATATACCTAGCTATACTCAAATCACATCAAATCAGCTTCAAGATAACTGAAAGCCAAAATGAAATTCAATCGGAATCCAAAATAGTAGATAAGTAGGCTACACTTTCGGACTATATTGTACACAATATCTCAAAGCATAATTCCTAAACATTTTTTACTGCTCATATACCAATGGATACCACCGAGTTTCAATGCAGCTCAAATTGCATTATTCCTTCGAAAATAAATCAAACTAGGAATTTCTTTCCTATTTCTATAGATGATTTTTCTACATAATATCTCAGTGTCCCAAGAAAAGACGACTCGTCTTTTTAACTTTCAAACGCGGATAATTCTGGACATGCATGGATTTCAAGGCTCAAATTTCAACGGTGAGCTGTGAACACTATTACTGATTAGTAAAACAAAACTCTTCCTTTAATTGGTACAATGCTCAAAGCAGCTTTGATACAGTATGTATACCCCTAGATGTGTGAAACAGCACAAGCAATATAATAAGGCCCAGATAGATCCCACAGTTTGTATGATGGACAAGGTGTTGTATAGAGTA